ATAAATTCTTCCTTTGGGCCAATTAACATTTAAGTTGTTAATTTTCTTCTTTTTTTTTTTTGTTCATTCTAAAACCGTTTATATACCACTTAGGCCAAGTCAACTATAATCGCCGTTTAAAAACTGTATTTGTTTTCTACAACATGAATATATATGTATATGTGTGTATATGCGTGCGCCTACCAACTACACATACAAATGTACTCACCTACATTTAAGCAAGATGTCCTTGTCGTGCAAATGATTTAAATTTTTGCCAAACGACAAAAAAAACAAAGCAGAGGAAAAAATGAATGACGACAAAGTATTTAAACATTAACTTGGCTTTTATTTCGTTGTTGTTGTTGGGTTTTATATGTTGTCATAGTTGTAGATCTTTAAATGCCTATGGAGAATAAGCGAGAGAACATGTTCAAGAAAATTGTATGACATATAGATTAGGGTGGGTCGGAATTGAATGTATTTAAATATTCAAAATTTGAAACAAAACTTGAAAACCTTAGAACAACCATAGATAAATTGATCGGGCATATTTCCAGAGAGACCAAATTATATATGGGAAAGGGTCCAATTAGGATAAAACGTGTAAGAAAACAATATTAGGGGCGAAGACTATTCTAAGCCTTCTTGTGAACACGGATAATTTCTTATTCTTTCACATTAGGACCTAGTTCGTATTTTTTTATTGTCATATCCATTGAGGACCTAAGGAATCTGAATGTATATCAAAATATGGATAACTTCTTCTTCTTCTTTCACATTAGAAATAATTCATATTTTTTGTTGTCATATCCATAGAGGACCTAAGGAATCTAAAGTATATCAAAATTAGGTAATCGTTGTGCTGTTTAGGTATTATTTTCAGAATCTTCATTACACCCCAATGTATATGCGTGTATATGTTGCCATATTCCTAAACGTTTCTGTGACTTTCCATTACCTTGTTGAATTGATGGAGTGAGCACAATGTCCTCCACTCATCTAAGTAATGCGGCACGCTTTCGTCCACCGGGGAAAATAACAATTTTCCTTACGACGTGTGTGGCATAGCAAGACAAGTGGCAGACATATGCGCGCACTAACAACTACAACTACTAATAACTCTCGAAATGAATGGCACACACATACACAGGTATCATAACATTAGAAATACCGGTGTATGTGTGGTGGATTGTGTGTGTGTGGGTATGTATGCTTGCTCAGCCAATGAATACGAAAATATTCATTAAAACGACAGAAAAAAAAAACATAGAAATAAAACAGCTTAGGAAATCATTCATTACGTGAATGCAGGCATTTGAGTGTGTGTTTGTGTTTCCGAACAAGTAAGCGTGCACGGGCATCGTTTGTTCGGGTTTAGTTGTCCATTAGAAGGCAAAGACACGTTTGCCCCAAACACACACACTCACATAGATATGGACGAACGAAAGACACTGGACTCGAAGCAAAATAAGATAGGTCGAACGTGTAGTATATCTTTGACTTAAGTTTGTCAAAAAACAGACAGAAACCGGCGGCGACTAGGAAACGGAAGTGGCCACCGCATGTTGCTCTTGTTAATAATGTACGTCGTCTGATTTACAGAGATCGCTGTGTGTGTGCGATTGTAACTGCAAATGGAGGGAAAATTAATGGCACTAAAATAACAAATCACTTTGTGGGTATATAAAACATATCATGAGGAAATCACTTTAATTGAAATAGAGTCAGTCAGTTAGTCAATCACTTTTGGCGGTTTTTGCTATTGTGTGTGTTTTTTGTGAAAGGTATTTGGTTTGTGTGCCTTACAATGAAAATAGAAAAATAATTAATTCCTTAAGTGTGCTAAAATCTTTAAGGACTAAAGATTTCGGGAGATTTAAGACAAATCAGTAGAAAAAGTAGACATTTTGAAAATCTCCTGTTCGAAGATATAAAATAGATTATTTTCTTCTTCTTATTTTTTTTTTGCAAATTTAAGACCTTTTGCTCGATGCTAGAAATGAAAACTCCAGAACTTTTAGCGCTATAAGGAAGAAATTTTTAAATAATATTTTCTTCAGAGCTGAAAGGATGTTTGTTTTAAACACAAGGACATTCAGAACCTTTTATTATATATATTTTTAAGGACATTTATTTAAAAAAAACTACTTTTAAGGATGTAATTATTATTAATTTTTTTAATTTTATTTGTGAATTTAAAAAAGTAATAAAGATTATCTTAAAGATTTTTAAAGTCTTTTAGAGCTAAAAACAAATAGTTTTAAGAACTATCAGAGACGCAAGCCTGAAGCAGGGATTTTTAAGGACTTCTGAATAACTTTTAGGCCCTAAAGCGTGTATTTTTAATGTTTTCTGGACTTCTGAACGTTAATACACATACAAGCGTGGAGTTTTTTAGAATATTTTAGAAACTTTTGAAGGCCTATAAGTCTAAAAAGAGCAGAATTTCTAAAAAATAATTTTGCAGGAATGTTGAATGCCTATAGGGTTTTTAAAAATATATATTTAAAGGAATTTTGACCTATACTCGTCGACGTTTCAATGAATGAATATAACGTAGATTTATTAAGAAATAATATAGGACTATAAAACCTATAGGTCTTTTAATTAATATTTTCAAAAGACTTCGGAAGATATATAAGATTAATGAGCGTAGAATTTCTTAAATAACTTTTCAAAGGACTCCGGAAGGACTGTAGGACCAAAAAGTGTAGATTGGTTTTAATATTATTTTGGAAGGGCTTCATAGACTAGACAAGTGTGGATTTTTTAAAGAATGATTTCAAAGGACTTCGGAAGGAATACAATACTCATAATCCTGTATTTTTGAAATAATATTCTTAAAGGACTTCGAAAGGACTTTAAAATAGAATATGAGACCCATAAGCGTGGCTTTCTTAAAGAATATTTTTAGCGAAATTCGGAAGGAATATAATATTTGCAAGCGTGGATTTTTTAAGGAATATTTTTAGCGAAATTCGAAAGGACCATAAGGTGCATTGATTTTTTTAAGACGCGTTGTTTTTTTAAAGAATATTTTTAATAAAATTCGGAAATACTATGAAGTCCATAAGTGCGAATTTTTTTAAGAATATTTTTAAAGGACTATAAGAGCCATTAGCCTGGTTTTTTTTAAGAATATTTTTATCGAAATTAGTGAGGACTATTAGACACATAAGCGTGGATTTTGTAAAGAATATTTTTACCGAAGTTCGGAAGGACCATAAGACCCCTTAGTGTAGATTTTTTATAGAATATTGTACCGAAATTGAGAAGGACTATAAGAACCTTAAGCGGTGATTTTTTATAGAATATTTTTACTGAAATTCGGAAGGACTATAAAGCCCATAAGCGTGGCTTTTTTTAAAGAATATTTTTAAAGGACTATAAAACTGATTAACGTTAATTTTTTATATAATATTTTTACCGAAATTCGGAAGAACTTTGAGGCCCATTTTTTAAAGAATATTGTTACCGAAATTCGGAAGGGTTAAAAGTCCCATAATTGTGGATTTTTTAAAGAATATGTTTAAAGGACTATAAGTCCCATAAGCATGAACTATTAAAGAATATTAGCGTGAACTATTAACGAAGATTTTTATTGCAATTCGGAAGGACTTTAAGAACCATAAATAATTTTTAAACAATATTTTTACCGAAATTCACATGCTTGGATTTTCAAAGGAAGAACTATAAGGCCCATAAGCGCGGATTTTGTTAAGAATATTTTTACATTTTTTTTGACGAAATTCGGTAGGACTATAGCCGCATAAGCCTCGACGCATAAACCTGGACTAATATTTTTACCGAAATTCGGAAGGACGTAATACCCATAAGCATGGACTTTTAAAGGCATCATATTTTTAAAGGATTATAAGGCGTCATTTTTTTAAAAGACTATTAAAGGGTATTTATAAAGGGCTTTTAAAGGTCTTATGCAGTGGATTTTTAAAGAATATATTAAAGGGTTATTGGAGGTCTTATGGTGTGGATTTTTAAAGAGTATTTACAAAGGAATATTAGTGGTCTTATACGTGTATTTTCAAAGAGCATATAAAGGACTATTAGAGGACTTATGGCGTGGATTTTCAAAGAGTATTTATAAAGGACTATTAGGGGACTTATGTAGTGGATTTTAAAAAAATAAGGTGTGGGTTTTAAATAACTTAAGGCGTGGGTTTTTTAAATAATTTATAGAATGAATTTTGAAAGAGTATTTATAAAGGACTATAAGACATATAAGTGTGTTTGAAATGGTGAAATTTTTAAGATATTTTTGAGGACTAGACTTACACATAAGTCATAAGGAGTTTTACTTTTAAGGAATATAAGGCTAATAAAGCTAGAATTTTTTAAGTATACTTTTGAAGGATTCGGACGTTTATAAACCTGGAGTTTTTACAGAATACATTCAAATGTCTTAAAGACCTAAGGGTACGGATGAAAAATAAATAAATTTGTTAAGGGACTTCTGAAGACTAACCTATAAGTGTGACCTTTTTTCAAAACTGTTTTCTGTATGACTTTTAGAGCATATATTTCTAAGAATATTTGCTACAAAAATATAGGATCGATGTTTCTTAAGGAAATATTCTTAAAACACATTTTGTCAACTATAGTCAGAATAAAAATAGCAAATGCAAACTCTTTGTAATAACATTTTTCTTCCAATGAAAAGGAAAGCCAGGTAATGAAAAAAAAACGTTGATCTATAGCTCAACTTGAAAGAGAAAAACCAAATAAAATCATCCATTCCCCTAAAGGCAAAAAATAAAAAAATCCAAGATGAGCCCGGCTAGGATTCGAACCTTGGTTCCCAGAGCAACACAAAAAAATTTTGTCGGACCACTTAGCGTTCTAAACAATCAAAACACTTGCACAAAAACATGAGAATACCGTAGAGTCAATTTGTACAAAAATCTTCGATCATATAGTTGAATTCAAAAGAGAAAAATTATTATTTTTAAAAGAATTATTTATATTTTAATAACATATTTCTTTTTATTACGACATTTCAGCTCTTATCATTTCACACCATCTCCATTGATGCCAAAGAATTGAATGCTAGTACAGCATTTGATAATACATGGACCACCGCTACAGATTTGGAAAACGAACTGCAGGTAAATTTCACATTCTCCCTCCTCCTCTTCTTTTCCCGAAAAAAAATCTCTCTTTTCCCTCAAATTTCTTTCTGTAGCAAAAAAGATCTGTCAAAATGTATCCACCGTCGACGAGTAGTATTATAAATCTTATGGCCATTTATGGCGGCTGGTCCGCCTGGTCGGAGTGGTCGATGTGTTCACGTCCCTGTAGCGGTGGCATAATGCAACAAACACGTCGCTGTGAAAATCCTAATGGTTGCAATGGCGAACGTATCCGCTATCGCATTTGTAACACACAGACGTGTCGTGAAAAAATCGATTTTCGTGAAAAACATTGTACCGCGCTAAATATGGTGCCATATGCGGGGAAATTATACAAATGGATACCGGAATATGATTTGAAAGAGCCATGTGTGTTGGCTTGTAGGTGAGTAGGAGGACATGGATATTTTTTCTTATTAATTATAAAATTATAAAAATTGAATTTTTATTAAATTATAATTGAAGTTTAATTAATTAAAATTATTAAACATTAAATGTACAGTCAAACCTTAAGATAACGCTTTCTATATAATTAAGCTTTAGCAAACTCTATAAGACCCTGTTAAAAATTATTGATTGTACATTTTTAAATTGAAGAAAATTAAATTGTAATGTATTTTCAGAGGTTATCTGGTTGACAAAGAACGTGCCCACAAATCATCGGGAAGTGATACGGATGACCAGAGTGTATTAGTACCAATGAGTCCCCATGTAATGGATGGAGAACGCTGCCGTCCGCCATCGTTGGATATGTGTGTGCAGGGAAAATGCCAGGTAAGTTATTTCAGAATTTTAAGCACTAGGACCAAGTAGATCATTTAATTATTACTATGTAATATTATCCGCATTTAAGTTGTGAAACAGTTTCTCTATTCCAAATCTCTACATTTATTTCCTAAACACCCATAAAAGGTTATTTCCTATTACATCCTTTTAAGCTATATTATTTTCTTAAAATTATTATAAATCTTTCCATAACAATTCTATATCCTCAATTCAATTGTTGAAGGTTATGAATATGTCATATCTAATATAAGCAATACTAAGCCCTTTTTCGAATCTAATAAGGCAATAACAACAACCACATCAACCGATATAATGGAAGCCAAGAAGACATGAAAATAAATACCTGTGTATTGTTGTTGGTGGTGGTGGCGGTGATACTTGAAACCAATTTAAATATTTATTTTATTTTTTGTTGTTTTACTTCTTATTTGTTTGTTGCTGTTGTTGGTTTGTGGTTACACCAAGCAACGAACGAACCAACCAGCCAAGCAAACCAACCCACCCAGACCACACCACCCAGCAATGCCGTCTCCGGCATCCTCATAAAACACAATATTTTCGCCATAACAAAACCAAAGTCTATATTTTTTTTTGTTTTGCCACTTTTTGTTATTTTCCTCTTGTTCTTGTTCTTCTTCTTTTTGTTATTTTTTAGCGCGTTGGCTGTGACTTGAAAATTGGCTCAACAAAAAAACTTGACATTTGCGGCATTTGTGGCGGCAATGGCAGCTCCTGTTCACCGACGCTTTACCAATGGGAACTGGTACCGGTGTCCTTGTGCACCGTCTCCTGTGGTGGTGGTAAGTGGTTTATGTCTATTGCTTTTTCTGTTCGATTCCGATTTTATATTTGATTTGTTTTGTTATTATGTTTCATTTGTCTTGTTCTTCTACGCCGTCGTCGTCGTCGTCGCTTCCACTCATATTGGGTTGCAAGCAGCATTTCATGGCCAATCAGTGTGACTTCATCAAAATCTCATGTCGATATGATGTGACATAATGTCATGTTCGGTTCAGTGATATGGTGTATCGAGACAAAATCGACATTGGAATACTATTTTAGTCTCCTGAGATTGTCTGTGTGCATTTGATTGTACAGACTTGAAAAAATAAACGGGGGATTTCTTTTATTTTTTTTGATGGAATGGAAACGATCTGAATTCCCCCCAGTGCTGCTGTGGCAGGATAATTTGCGTAGCAAATAACATAATAATTTGCCAGCAGGGAAAGTTATCATGGATTTAAACAATATTGATGGGAAATGCGTAAGAGGAAACAATATAGGGGTCCTAGGGAGATATGTATTGGCGACCAGGACTTAAAAATGGCGGAATTAGTTTTTAAAAAAGGATTGCATTTCGTTTCCAAAACATAATGAAACACAAGTAGACCCATGTTATTAAGCTTATTTTCGTAATGCCTTAGGTTAAAAGAAAACAATTAAAAATCAGTAATGAAAGTAGTAAAGTCGGACGTTGTCGACTATATGATACTCTTTAGCACTTTGGCTATATTCTCTATCTTATAGAAGAACAGAAGGTCTTCCCATAGAATAGCAGAGGGTCTTCTTATAGAACAGTGGAAGGCTTTCTTTTGGAATAGAAAAACGTCTGCTCAAAAATGTGCAGTAGAACTTTTAATAGAACAGTGGTAGAACTTCTTATGGAATAATAGCTGGTATAAAAACTTCCCATAGAAGAGCGAGAGTTCTCCTATAACAGCAAAAGGGGTTCCAATACAATATCAGAGGATTTTATTATAGACGTGTTGAAGTTCTTACCAAAGCAAATTAAAGCAACAGCTAAATGTTCTCAAGAAGATCTGATGGGTTTTGTAATATAGTAGCTGAAAGTCTTTTCATAAAAGACCAAAAGGCCTTTTAATCAAGATTAGAAAGCTTGAAGTCCTGCTTATGAATAACCTAGAGGTCTTCTTATAGAATACCAAGAGGAATTTTTATAGAATATTAAACGGTATTCTTATATCACTATGTAAGGGTTTAACACCTGAAACCCGTTTGACGGGTGACATTGTTGGTTTGGTGGCTTTCTGCCTGGGCCCACTGATATTTTATCGCGGGGTAAAAGAGCTCCAATCATAAACTATGCCTCATCGAAGTATTGTTATTAACTATGCCCTTCTGTATGTATGGTGCACTCGATAAAACTCAAAGGGAGAACAGGACCAGTCCAAATTTTGTACAGCGTAATATTACTTCCCAATTAATCAAGTTCAAAGAAGGTCCAGACATTTTGGCTCCAATCCTCACAAATGGTCCGAAGATGACGTCTATTTGTCTACTTCTTCTTGTTAGGGTCAGCATTTTGAAAATATCTCAAATGAAGCTAAAGAAGTCTGCGAACTGTTCCAAATTTTGCACATCGTAATATTTTTTTATAGCTTTTATAGCTGTTACTAAAAAAATCTATTTTTAAATTATTTTTTATACAAAAATCTTTTAATTTTTTTTAAGAAAACTTCGAAAACATGAACATATTTTTATTAATACCAATTAACCATAGTTATTTATTAAATTATTCACATATTAGGCACTATTTATTTTCCCTATGTATAGCAGTCTTGCATTACAAATACTGCCACTTAAATATTCCACAATATATCACATATTTTTATTTGCACTCTTCCCCTTTTTCATTGTTGGGTTGCATTCTCCTCAGGCTATAAAATGCCACGTATTGTATGCCGCAGTCGTATGACTGGCTCCGAAGTGGATGATTCCCTGTGTAATGCTGCTAATCGTCCCGAACCATCGGTGGAATTGTGTAATACACACACCTGTCCGCCCCGGTAAGTAAATGTAAACAAAAATTTAACTTTATGTGTCTCCAGGTGGCTGGGGAGCTGAGATCTGGATAGATGCGTGGGAAAACCAAGCACAGAATGCTAATGGGGAAAAAGTTCAAAAAGATGCATGCGGGTGGGAGGGAAGTAAACTTTTATTTTGGTTAGAAATTCCTTCAAGTGGTTAGTAGGTAAGAGGTTGCCATGTGTGTGTGTCAGCATGTGAGTAACTGAAACTGGGATTTATATTTTCTTTACAATTCAAGGAACCGAGAAATGTTTTCGTCAGTTTGTTTGGTTAGTGTTTGCCATTTTCTGTGTGTTTTTGTTATCGTTGTTGCTGCTGCTGTCGTTGTTATTTTACACAGTACACCGGCCACAAAATGCAATTTAATGTTTTAGATAGAGTTTTGCAGTGTAATTAAAGTTCGAAACAAACACACATACGACCAAACAATGCCAGTAACCAAACAAATTTAAATCTCTGTTAAATTAATATTTCATGTGTGTGTTTTCCGGTAAATGCACTGAGAGAAAAAAAGAGTAGAAGTAGGACATGGTTTGAAGGTATTTTTCAAAGGACATCAGCAGGGAAATTTTGGTAATTTTTAAGAAATTTTTGACTAGATGAAACGACATATTTAGAAATGTGTAGAAAAAATGCAATGTCAGAACTTTAATATATTTTATAGAATAAATGACCAAATATTATAATAATTTGATATAATAAAATTATATATATTGGTTTCAGAAGATAATATGGGTTATAAATATTGAATGTATATAATATTAGTACTATTAAATATATTTTTAATCTTATCATACCTGTTTCAATTCCAGATGGATTGCCGACAACTGGAGTACATGTGATCGCCCATGTGGTCCAGGCATGCGTAGCCGTATGGTAGTTTGTGCTGAAGAAAACAATGGTATAAAAACTAGAGTAAGTTTTAGCTACTAAATTAAAAATTATCAAACAAATATTTAAAATAATAATATATAATAGTAATATAATAATAAATTTTATTTTTTCAATTCTCTCTCCATTTATAACATTTCAATAGGTTGCCGATATGTTATGCCCCAAACCAAAACCACCGATGCAGGAGCAATGTATTATTACTGAGTGCCCCAAATGGAAAGTTGAAAAGTGGTCAACGGTGAGTAACTTTGTGTAGATTTTTATAGCCAGTTTCCCTAAGACGATGGAATGTCAATTCGAACGAAAAATATAATACAATTTTTGAGTATAAAAATGTCCCAGCTAACACTTATTGCCAAGGGCTCCGATTTCAGATTTATTTTCGAGATTTCTAACGGGGTTTGCCGTCTATTTCCCAAGTAGTCTGCAAGGTAAATTTAAATGTGTGTATTTTGTATATACAAACAAAAAAACAAAACAAAAGAAGACATTTGAACAAAGAATTGACACTTCATTTTACACACTCTACCCCTTTTCCGATTACTTGCCGAATAATCTGACCATTATCTAAAGGATTTTTTTTTGAAAAAAAAAATTAAAATAAAAAATATTCTGTTGAGTTGTTGTCAAGCCGTCAAAGACAAAATTTTAAAAAGTAAATTGAAAATTAATTAAATAATATGAATGTTACGGGGAAGTATAATTAGAAGGAACAACAAACAATGAACACCGTAGAGATAGAGAAATAGTTATGGAAGCAGATTAATTCGGTTTGTCAATGCGAAAATGAAATAGAAGCCCCCATCTTCAATGTCTCAGTGTCAAATGTTTCCTTAGAGTTTTGTCCAAAAATGGGCAAAACGTAGAAAATTCCCTCAAAAAGGCATTTTTTCTCCCAAAATTAATATAATCTGCAAAAAATCCGCAAGAACTGGTCGAATTTGTGCATGAGGTCAAATGACCTGTTCCCCATGCTCTTAAAACAGTCCACTAAGGGCGAGCAGTTACAGTGTTCTTCAAGGCCGAAAACTGTCTAAGTGGAGTTTTTAGTATCTGAGAACGCGGAATGTCAATTAGAATCAGAAAAAAGTATATGTGAGCTATACCAAAATATGGACATAGAATTTACCCTCTAAGAACACGAAATGCTAATTTACATCCACTTATTGCGACCAGGTTATCCAAAGAAAGCAAAATGGGATGTTATCTATATTTGGGCGACTAATAATCCAAAGAAAGCAAAATGGGATGTTATCAATATTTGGACGACTTATAATATTTTTTGGGAGATATTTTACGCGTTAGTTAGGAAAATGCGGTTATATGTGCTTTAGTAGTCTAGCAGTAAGTATTCCAATATAAGGCTATTCGGTATTCTTATAGAAAGCCAGAAGGACTTCTCATAAATGAACAAAAGTTAATCATGGAGAGGACCAAAAAGTCTTCTCTTTTCGTAGAAACGCAGAGGGTCTTCCACAGGAAGACCATCAAGTCTTCTGGTCTTTTATTGGGCGATCACTTACTCTGCTTCCTATGAAAGAACAGAAGGTCTTCATATAGAACTTCCCATGGAACAGCATATAGATCTTCTCATGGAACAGCAGAAGATTTTTTCATAGAACAGCAAAAGGTATTCCAATAGAAAAGCAGAAGTTCATATCATTGTTTATTTTCGTATTTCGGATTCTCATTGGCTGTCAAATCTCACTACCAAAAATATCAATATGTATCTCAATTCTATTTTTGCCCCATATAAACGTAGCCGCACCTTTAAATATTTTGAGAATTTTAATTGTATTTTTCGGTATGTTCAAGGTCCTATCATACCATGAGTTTTCTCCTACGAGCCCCCATTAATTTTTTCCCCAGGGTGGAGGGTATAAAAAGTTTGGCTGGCCGAACTTAACATTGTTTTCACTTGTTATTTATTCAGCTAAGCATTTTCCCTCTAATAATTAGTTGGAATTTGTTTTGTCGTTTTTACTCCGGCCCGACACATTATCTCTGATTTTAAACCAACCTTTGCTCTGGCAGGAACAGGAATTAATGTTCATTATTTACTTAATAAAATAATAAAACAAATCTATTTTGTCAATTTGCTATTTTCCTTTCTCCAAAAAATCTAAAGTGCTCCGAATCCTGTGGCGAAGGAATACAAATACGTAATGTGGAATGCAGTGCTGCAGATGGTGGGTTAAGTGACAAATGTGATCCCCTTACAAAACCGGCCAGTGTCCAAAGTTGCACCACAGGGCTGCTGTGTGAGCCCAATTCTATCAAAAACTCCAGGGTAGGTTTAAAATACAATCCTTGTAATGATATAACATTGTATATTTAAAAAATTTAATATTTAAAATTTTTTTTGTAAAAAAATATTTTAAATCTAAATTCTCGATTTTTTTCATTCCATTTGCAGGTCGCCCTGAACATGGACCACAAGTTGCTGAGCGACAATGACGACGACGAAGAAGATGACGCAGACACCGATGTGGTTGATGATGATTCCGATATCGACGATGATTATGCCGATGATACGTTCTTTGACAAACAACCGCTTTATTTACATCATCGCATGAGTCGTTTCCATCACGAAGAACCTGATGGACCACAAATGATGCGTTTACAATCATCTGGTCGTTATAATTCGGATGAAGCTATGCCATCGGAACCAACGTAAGTACTGAGTCATTAATAACTAAAATTTACAAAATTCACGAGAAATCTTGATGATGAACACGCGTTGTATTAATTTTCCAATTAATTAAAAGATTAATGATTCATTGGAATTTTATGAGGCAAATATAGACATAAATGGATCGTTAAAGAATTCATATTTAATAGATAAATACATATTTAAACCAGCGCATGTAATTTTAATTTTTGGCTAAAATAAATAAATTCTGTAAAATTCGAAAGGAATGAATTCGAGTAATATACGACCAAAGTCCATGATTTCGAAAATTATCTATTTTATTTTTAGTTTGAATAAAACAATATTTTTTACAAAAATAAACGTTCGAATTGCTTCGTTTCGAATTTTACAGAAACAATGTATTAATTTGTATACCATACACATTGGCGTATACATAATAAAAAACTAAACGCCATATAAAGTATACGCCTTAATCTGTGGAGAAATTATCCAAACTTGATTTCGTATATTTTCAATGGGAGATTACTGGTTCTCCTTAAATTTCGTTATCAAGTTTAATTACCAAGAAATTTTGTAAATATGAGCAGTAGCCAATAATAGTGCTAACAATATCACCCCCATAATCATTCCCCATTTTCACAAATTACCCGCCTTATTGTTCTCGTTTACAATTGAGGTTAATTATAGTTTATATTATTTCTGTTGTATTTGTTTTATTATTTTCCCATTTTCTTTTATTTCTCACTCTGGTATAAGTAGAAAAAACAGAAACAAAATTCAAATTATCCATTAACTCAATGTCATTCAATCGAAAATAGCAGCTGTCACTTATGTCCGTCATTAGTGGCAAATGACAAGCAATTTCATACCATTAGGAATTGGGAAAGGTTACAAAGGTCAATTCGCCGTTTCGATTTCCTAGTAAAGAAAATTTGACAAGGAAAATATTTGCGAACAAAAATTTTTTAAAAAGAAAACTAAAAACAATTTTCATTTCACTGGGAATGTATTGGAAATGGACATAAAATTCGTTTGAAATAACTTCGTAAATAGCCTGTTGAAATGGCATTAAAATGACACCCCTCTTGAGGTCCTTGAAATAATATTAAAAATGACAACGTCCTCAATAACTATTCGGTGGTGCTTTAGAAAGGTCATTGAAACATATTTTTCAATAACTATCCCTACAAAATTCATGTATATGTATAATAACACATGGACACAAATGTGGAAAGTCCTTGAAAAATATTTAAAAAAACCTTCACATATGGAAGTCTTTGAAAAAAAAATTGAACTAACCACGTCTCGGGAAGTTCTTAAAAAAATTTTGAAAATAACCACGCCTCTGGAATGTCGCTTAAAACTGTTTTTAAAAATAGCCAGGCTTTAGGTGGTCCCTTAAAACCCTTCTTAAAAATAACCATGCCTCGAAATTGTCCCTTAAAACTATTCTTCAAATAACCACGCCTTCAGAGGGATCCTTCAAACTATTCATAAAAATAATCACCCCTCTATAGAGAAAACCTTAAGACTACTCTTAAAAATCGCCACGCCTCTGAATGGTTCCTTAAAAATAATTTTAAAAATAACCACGGCTCTAAATGATCGCTTAAAACTATTCTTAAAAATAACCACACCTCTATATGGTCCCTTCAATAACCACGCCTCTAGATGGCCCCTTATATAGCCACGTCCCTAGATGGTCCTCAAAATTATTATTAAAATAAAACCCCTTTAAAATATTCACAAAATAATATCTGAATCAATAAAAAAATAATCATGACAATGGGAGGTCCTTAAAAATAGGTCCTTAAACCTTAAACATCTACAGATTATCAGAATTTAAAATTTTGAATCCAAGCCTTTAGAATTAATCTCAAAATCCTTCAATCCTTCGTTTAAAATTCCTTCCTCCAGAATTGCCCTTAAAATCCACTCTCCTTCCTTTCTCCAGAAATTTCATTAAAATTCACTTAAGGGAACCCATCCCATTCTCGATTTTAATTTTTCAAGATTTTCAATGGGCTGGTATATCAATACCAATGCTTGTTAAGGTTTGTAACTTTGCACATAAATATTTGAAGATTTAAAAGAGAGGAGAAATTACTTACAAAAAAATTTTGTAATTGTTTTGTTGTCGTTTTTTGTATTTAAAAACAAGTACTTATGTTTGATGGCGGACATGATAACTCCTCACTGGAACATCGGAATCCGAAAATTCCAACGGTGTTAGAAAAATTACATGTCTGGCTCTCGTATGACTTCTCTCTAAAATTAACAAAATGGCGGACCTTTGAAAAAATATTTTTGGAAAATCGCAGATTTTTGACGAAAAACCACGTTAAAAAATAAGGAAGATCTTCACCGATTGGCTTTATACTAGTTCATACGATAGCTATACAATCACAGAGAAACGTGTAAAAATTTGGAATCGATTGGGTTATTAGTTTTTGAGTTATCTTGCCCGCTATTCGCAAAAGAGAGTTCTTGAGATTTTCACTTGAAATTTTGTAGGGACATTCTTGAATTAGTTGAATATGTTGACCCCGAGAATGGGGGGTCCCCTTAACTAGAGTTATAATTGAAACCTTTAGAGTTTATTTTTAGTTTTTAACCTTTAGACTCATCCTTAAAACCCGCCTCCATATATGTCCTTGAATATTTCCGCTACCAGAACAAACCTTAAAAACTCGACTTATAAATTATGACTTAAAAACTCGCCATATTAGCCATTGTCATTGAAAAATATACTTAAAAGCCACTGTCCTCCATGAAGCAAGAAAAATCGAGTGGTTTTTGTCCTTGTTCAACCCACGACTTTAGTCCTTGTTAAATTGTCATTTAAAATCTCTGACTTTGAAGCCATGATCCTAAAATCGATCCTATAAAAGTCCTCTTATTTATTATTATTTCTTTATTCTCCTCCCCAGTTACATGAAAGATCCTGATTGGTCACCGTGCAGTGTCACCTGTGGTGTGGGAATACGTCGACGTACATATAAGTGTAAAATATTCTTACAATTCTCCCGAACCTTGGCCACAATTAACGATACGATGTGTGAAGGCAAAAAACCCCACGACGAAGTCGAACGATGTGTAGAAGAACCCTGTGTTATGCCATCACATGGCTATGAAGAACCCTATCATCGGGATTCGATAAAAGTTGGTGTTTCCGAACCTGGCAAAACCTATGTGTGGCGGGAGCAGGGTTACACCTCATGCAGTGGCAGTTGTTTGGGTGGTGTTGAAGAACTTATTATTAATTGTGTGCGGGAGGATAATGGGCGAGTGGTTTCACCATTTTTATGTTCTCCCGAAACAAAACCCGAGGCACGTATACGGACCTGCAACGATCGTCCTTGTCCACCGAGATGGAATTATACAGAATTTACTCCCTGTTCAAAAACTTGTGGCATTGGTATTAAGACAAGAGAGGTGCAATGTGTACATGAGGTTACACGGGGTGGTGACAATGCCATGGTGGTGCCCAACAGTATGTGTCCCCAACCACCACCTGCTGATCGGCAATATTGTAATGTTCTCGATTGCCCTGTTCGCTGGGAGGTGGGCGAGTGGTCCAAGTGTTCCCACACCTGTGGCTACGGCATTAAAGAACGAAAAGTCGAATGTAAACAGGTTATGGCCCAGGAACATAAATTGGAACGACCGGAGATTATGTGTGCCAGTGCCAAGCCACCGGAGAAGAAACCCTGCAACATTAGACCCTGTCCCGCCGAGGAGCCCAAGCCGGTTATTGAAATCAGCAACACCACACACATACAACATGATCCGCGCAAAACAAAAGTCACACTGAATATTGGTGGAGCGGCGGTGGTATTTTTTGGAACCCAGGTAAAGATAAAGTGTCATGTCAAAGGCTTTGATCGTACAAAAATCAAATGGAATAAAGATGGCAAACCCCTGGAGAAGAGTAAAAAATTCCGAGTCTCAAAAAAGGGAGCACTGCATATACTTAATATAACATTTAGGGATGCTGGTGTGTACTCGTGTGAGGCCGGACCTTCGAATGCTGAGATAACGGTGGATGTTAAGGCCAAACCGGGTCAACGACAAGAGGAATTGGAACAGCAACAAGGTAAGGGTTTGTCAAAAATAAAAAGATTATCACCCCATAATTGAGGTAAACATCATCAGGAGCTCATTTATGGGGTCTCCGACTTATGATGGAGAATATCAAAATTAAGAACAAATATGTTCGGTTTATAGACTGTACTATTTTTTATACCATCCACCACAACGTAGAGTGTATATTAAATTTGTAATTCCATTTGCAACAGCTCGAAATATTCACCGGAGATCCCACAAAGTATATATATTCTTGATCCGAATATAATTCTGTGTCGATTTACGCGTGCCCGTCTGTTGAAATCACGATAGAGATAGCAATATTTAAGATAGTGCTCTGAAATTTTGCTCAGATATTGCTATTACTTCTAGGATGTTTGGTACTGCAAATGGAGTTCATCGATCCACGTTTTGGTGTAGGCCCCATATAGCGATATTCGGTATTTTGGACATGCTTTTTAACCGAATTGACTGTAATTTAAAATTGTGTGTTCCCATTGAATGACAGATATTCGTACCAAAAATTATAATTGATTCAGGGTAGCTCCCATATAACAGTACCCCCACCCCAATTTTCGGTATTTTAGGGATTTTGAACACATTTTCCAACCGAATTGACAGTGATTTGATATTTTGGGTTCTCATGGAATTACACATATCCGTTCCGAAAATTATAATTATTGACCCAAGTTTCAGGGTAGCCCCCATACAACAGTACCCTCCAATATTCAGTAGTTTGGGGATTCTAATTTCCCGACCGAATTAGCTTTATTTTGGATTATCATAGTGTAGCACACGTCCGTACCAAAAATGATTCATATTATTCCAAGTTGCAGAGTAGCCTCCATTAGCGGCACCGCCCAATATTCGATGTTTGGATAGTATAGGATGTCCCCTATAAAAACCCGAATAGGGTGTTATTTAGTATTTTGGGTTCTCAATGAATAGCACATATCCGTACCAAAAATTGTATAATATTGCGCTAGATTCAGAGTAGCCCCCATTTAACGGTATCAACACCGATTTCCTTTTATAACGATAGCCCTACTATCAAATATTTTGAGAATTTCCGTCATATTTCTTTCCACTATTTTTCCTATGAGACCCCATAATTTTAAATATTTTAATTGTCATCCTCATGGTGGAGGGTGTAAAAAGTTCGGTCGAGCGGAACTTAACATCGTTTTTACATATTATCTTTTATTTTCTCATTTAGAAAATATGCTGCCTGAAGGTAGTGGTGACGATTCAATGGAAGCTGCTGAAATTATGGCTCCAACGAACAGGTAAGTGAGGAATACACTTGAAGGCAAAAAATACGGTTTGATCTTCTCAAAATATCAGTTATATATCTCGACATGTTAGGAAATTAAAATCATTTTTTGTTGCCCTACATCCTTAATTACATTTGATTGCAAATGGATGTGTGTAAATCCTTCAAAAAATTTATAAACATGTTTTTCCTTTAATTGCAGAAAAATAATTTTCTGTACTTTCCTGCCCTGCACTTGTGTTATGTTTTCTTTACTTCTTCGAATTTGTTCATGTTGAAAATCAATTACATATATTATTCCGCCATGCTCTCCCTCTCCCCCCACGTTTCGATTGTTCAACTAAATGGGCTGTTGATGTGTTGGGGCAGTTTAACTTTAAAAACCACTTGGGAAACCAATGGAGCAATGATTTAAGCATCATCTAGCATTTGACCAAACGACTGGCCGCAAACAATATTTCATAGTTGGTCAAATGTGTAAATGTTTGCCTGTGTCTGAGTGCTGTTGTTGTTCTTCATGTTGTTTAAAGTTGAACGAACACACACATAAAACATATATCATTTCCACGGCCACCCTCCCTCCCGCTCAGCTTGAACCTACCAAGCCAGCAAGAAAGAAGTTCTTCGTATCGTTTCCTTTGGTTTTTTGCCTAGTCTAGCATTTCATTTAATTGCTGGAAGTAGGTTTTGGTTTGGCATTTTTGGTTCCGGGAAAAAGAACGGACATGAACTTGTTCTTCATGCCCTTCTTTATTATTTCCACAAATTTTTCAAAATGTCACGTTTTGCAAAGTTTTCGAAACATGTTGAAATTATAAAAAGTAAATGTTACATAGCAATGGGGCAGCGGGGATTAAGAGATAGATATGTATCATATTTTAGTATTACATATATATCCGGAGTCTTATGATCCCTGTCGTTACTTTCCACCTGTTTTATGGTAGGGTATTTTTTTTTTTGATAAACCTATTGATATTCCCTTGGACATTTTTGTGTTGTTGGTGTTGTCGTTGTTGTTGATTATTGTTGCTTTCATTCGACTCTTATGCCATATCATTGCAGTACACAAACCACACGTCACAAACAGCAACAAAGCTATGCCCGAGAACGTAATCAACGTCCCAAGAATGATGGCAAACAGCAGCAGCAACAGAATGCGGATGGCAGTCTAGCAGGCGATGAGGTAAGTTTCGAATGTAATTTTATAATGTTACAATACTTAGGTCAATAATGTATTTTTGTGGGTAGTGATAAAAGTAATAATGAAGTTTTGTTAGAATATAACCGGTACAAGATCAAGATCTGGGTTCCAAACATCTGTTTTTTATAACTACTCAAGAATGTCACTTAAAATTTCAGAAACTTTAGAAGATATAACAGCTATATGCTGGAAGCGCTGGCTAGCATTTAACTTGTTTTACAATCGGTTCAAAATTTCACGTTGCTCTAGATATATATAGCTATCGTATGAACTAGAACAAATCCAATATCTTTCTTATTTCTTAATTGAAATATTGGTCTGGAAAATAGGCGATTTTCCATAAAAAGTTTGTTATATAATTTGTAAAACACTGTGCAAATTTTTATTTTTTTATACGTACTTACATAGCTGGCTTGTGATAGAATATTTGTTCCATAAACCGAGCTGAAAAAAGATTTCCAGGCGCGTCGGTCTCATGCGCAATTTCTCCTATTTGAAAGACCCTGTTCCGAAACGTTGTCTTCCACTTGATCTTTCCAACGAATTCCTGGCCTTCCCCTTCTGCATGAATCATCAGTTGAGTCGCTTTTATTTATCTTTTGAGCTGGGGCATCCTCATTCTCACAATATGACCTAGCCAACGTAGTCCCTGCAGCTCAATACGTCTGATTATGTCGATGTCCGAGAATAAATAGTACAGCTCATGGTTCATTCGACGACCATATTCACCGTCGACGCAGATCTTTCGGACAATTTTTTCTCAAACACTCCAAGAGCTGCCTCATCTGCTTGCGCAAATAGCCATGCTTCAGATCCATATACAAGCATGGATAGTATCAGCGTCTTGTAGAGTGTGAATTTGTTCAGGCGAAATGTGGCCTTGTTTTTTAATTGCTTACCATAGTTACTTCTGTTGGCCAACGCTATTCTTCTCCGAGTATTAAAGCTAATGTCATTTGTTTTGTTTATGGTGGTACCGAAGTAGATGAAATCTCTAACTACCTCAAAGCAGTAGTTTTCAAGTTCCACAGTTGGTCCGAGTTTACTGGACATCTTGCGCGTTGTTACCATCAGCTTGGTCTTCTCGTCATTTACTGCCAGTCCCACTTTGGCAGACTTCTTCACGACGACATGTATGTATCCTCGTTCTGTATTGAAAGGGATCCTAGTGGTCATTTCCGACTTAAACTGCTGACCTTGTGCAAGTTAAAGTTATCCTGCATAGTCGTATTAATTTTTAAGGAATGCCGAACGCAGACATGGCTTTAAACACATCTGAACGGATAGGGCTGCCGAATACGGTTTAATAGTCGACGAATAGTTGGAATGTGTAGATGTATTATTTCTAGGATTTGCCAGGTCTGAAGCGGATTTGCCAGGTCTGAAGCCGCATTGATTAGATCCAATACAGTACGCTGGATATCACTTTATATGAACCTCTATAGTTGGTTCATATCATGTCATGTCTTCTTTTTTATGCACGAAACACAGGTTCATTCCTCTAGTCAAATTTTACTAATCTGTTGATGCATGCTCCTGACCACCGATATTGAATAGTTCGGCTGGTAATCCATGAGAACCTGTGCTTTGCTATTCTTCAGCCGATTAATTGCTATTGTGGTATCATCCTGGTTATGTGGTATACAATTTATACCTTCATCTCGTATTGGTTCTGGGGTACCTTCTTCAGTGACTATTTAATACCAGAAGCTTTGCAAAATGTTCCTTCCAGATCCTCAATATGCTAACTGTATCTTCATCTCTACAGAATGATAGGCCTGCACCAAAGCCATCGGTTTGGTTTTTTATTCGTTGGTAACATGTCAATTTGCTAACTCTTACGTTTTTCTTGTTCTTTCTTGTTTTCTTCTCCCAATAATTCTCGCTCGCATTTCGTGTTGCTACTATTTGGAGGGTTGCCATACACGCTGCGTTTTCACCTCAAAAACATTACGACTTGCAATTCTTTGCCATTGTGCTTCTTTAATATTATCGGGACAACGAGGGGTTTCGTCGCTTCTGCTACCTGTTGTGTTTACAGCTTTTCGACGCCAAGTTTCCGTATTATATTAGATTGCACCTTGACTGCTAAAAGGTAGTCGTTCGAATCGATATTCGCTTCACGGATCGATCGAACGTCTAAAACACTGGATTAATGCCTTCCGTCTGTCACAACATGATCATTTTGATTTTGTATATCGAGATGCTTGAATCTGGCCGAGAAGTCAATCAAACTTATGCCACTGTCGAATGTTTTTTCATGGAGGCTGAAATTTTCGACGGTGGGGCCAAGAATATTATCCCTTCTGATTTTTGCATTAAAATCTCCTAGCAGGATTTTAATGTCATGGTCAGGGCAGCGGTCATATGCGGCTTCTAGGCGCTCGTAAAATGTTGCACATTCCACGTACAGATAAACAGATTGCGTTCCTTTATACGTTAATATTAAGGGAGGTTGGTTTTCCTTTTTCGTTGTTTTTTCATAGAAGGTGGGGTTTTCTGAGTGTGGCCAACTAACCCGACATAGCTCTCATGGGTGAACACGCGGCACATATCAGCTCTCTATTTCAACAAGTGATGAAAGTACCCCTAGTGGAAAGGTCAGTGTCCACAATTAATATAAAAGAGGGACCAAGATAAGCGTGGCTTTCGCCGTGTTAAATGATTGGTGTCTAACATCCCCTATGTCACGCTAGGCCACACATATCTACAGTGACTCGCCAGAAACTTCGGGAGCTTGATTGACAAGTTTTAATCCATCCTCCATACAGTCCGGACAAATCATACAACAAAACGGTGCATATTTGGCAAAAATTCCGAAGCATGTTAAATAAAGTCCTATTGTTCATATAGAAATAATGGATTTCTTTTTTCCCCAAACCTAATATTTTTCCACTGATTTCCTTGATAAAAAATCGAAATATTAACCTTATCTCTGGACAAAAGCCATTTTATTCTTTTGTGATATTTAAGAAGTTTCAACAGTTATTCCATTATATATTTTTTTCTGAATTTTTGATTGTACAAATTGGTTATTCGCGTTTATCCATTTATTTTTTGTTGCTGCTTGTTGTGGTGTGAGCTATGTATCTCTAGCACATTTTTCTGCCACAGCAACCGCAACAAGAGCTGGCCATGGAGGACCATTCAACTTTACGAAAAAAAAAATAGCAAAAACAAAAATTAATTTAAGTGGTAAAGTTATATTATTTTGAGTTATACTCCAGTAAAAGCTGATTGTCGTTTGAGTGTTGTTTTAATGGTTGCTTTAATTTGTTTTCTAACAACAGCAAAAAACACAACGAAACCGAACGAAACAAAAAAAGGATAAGCATCGTTTAAATTAAGGAGTGTTGGTTGTTTTGTTGTTGTTGCAATTCTGTAAAATACAAAGTTACTAGAAAATTAAGGCAAACGAAAATAACAAAAAAAGTGTTTTATTCAAGAATAATAATAATCATATCAAATGTTTATTTCCGTTCTCTCTTTCTCTTTTTCTCTTCCCTTTCTTTACAATTTATATTTTTGTTTCCTTATTATTCATTTCCCATTTTTTAGCATTCCCACTTAATTCAACAGGCCCAGGATGGTGAACTGTCACAGTCAAATGCCAGCAGCAGTGGTAGTAGTCCCCACACCAATGTTTTGTTGTTGTTAATGCCATTTCTTAATGGCCTGTCGAGTAGGCTACTGCAGGTGAGTTATGGTTACAAGACATTCGTTTTTTTTTTCTTTTTGAAACTGACCAGAAAATAATGAACTGTAGCGACGAATATTAAGTTCATGCAGTTTATTAAAAATGAACAACAGGTTGTC